AGCAGCTGTATTTTAATTCGCTGCACTATGTCCATATCGTTGTAAAGCTCATACAGCTCATCGTTCCATCGTCTGCGGTACTCGCCCCAGCGCACAACCCATTGCTGGGACGGGGGTGGTTTCGCAACCAAATACACGTTTATATAGCGAGCCGCTTGCTCCAAGCAGACACCCGCTTGCAGCCGCACCTACTGGTGAACAGACGCTGCAGACTTCAGTGAGCCCTTAAACCGAATAAGTCAGAGTGGCCCCACCGAAGCTCCCTCTCTTTCTGCCGTGACCCAAGGCTCCACTCGGATTGGTTACCGCATCTCGCACATGGGTTGCTCACGTTGCCCAGAGTGCGCGAACGAGGACGCAAGAGTCAGGATTGAGTATAGCCATGCAACTGTAACTGCATACCCAGCGCAATGACTATACCCCATATATCTATGTATATACTGTTAATAAATTCTATCAAAATTTCAAGTCATCTGAAGTAGAGATGTGCACGGGCCGGGCTTTTGGCAGGGCCCCTGCGTAAGCCGTATTCATTGTCAGCACGAACATGTGCGTGCATGAGCATTCAGTAAAATTTCATAAAAGCACGAATAAGCACGAAAAAGCCCGTTGCTAATACTTACGGTGACCATAAATATATTTTTAAAATGCAGGACAATTTTTCAAAAACATTTACCTACATATAATTGCGTAGTATAAAAATAACAAAAATATACTACATACATATATACATTCCTCGTCATTTTAATAGCGCATTTTCTACCATACAAAGTATGCTTGACAAAATTTTTATATGGAAGAAAATGCGCAGCCCCGTCAACAAAAAAAATGTCGCCCCTTTTTTTTTTTTAATTTTCAAAAATTCTTAAAATGGGATGTAGACGTAGAATATGCTATATTTTTATAAAAAGTTAATGAATATTAAATATACAAAAGTAAAACTGTACCTACTAAGTATTAAAAAGATGCGCTATTCAAATAACGAAGGGTGTATATTTCTTAATTATTAATCCAATTTGAAACTTTAAACATAAATCGCATTTGCTTCATTGGTATTAATCTTTTAGTAATGAATATTTACAAAATTTTAATAAGGCATATTACATATTACTTTACCCGAAATATGTAGTTTTTTTATTATTGTTTAATTGTTCCTTTGTATTTAACAAATTCATAAATTATACATTTTTAATGATACGCTGTTGTTTATGTTAAAATTTGCGTACACGTCGCTATTAAAATATAGTATTTATTAAAATTGTTTCACTTACAATAAATGTAAATAACTATGTAAATACACTTCTTAAAATATATTTATATCTTCACAAAATTACTTATTTATTTAAGCTATTTGCCTGACTTCTGTTAGGAAGCTTTAGTTTCGTCTCGGTCACTCATACAAATATGGTAAGTATGTACATACATACATATATGTATGTATAAAAAATACATACAAATACACATGCATATGTATACACATTTGAAAATTCAAGTCTCAAATTTTACTCTTTTATTGTTGAAAATGTCCTTAAGCTGATTATTATTTTTATTATGTACTTAAGCCCTTGGAGGAATTTGCCCCGCTTTTCTTTCATTGCGCGCTTTCTCCCAGTTGGCAATATATGTCAATGGGTAGCAAAGGAAAGCCGAAACTAATATCAATCCGCCAGCAAAATAGAACGCAGTATTATAGTCTTGGGTCATATCGTAGAGTACACCTGAAAAGCAAAGGGCAAGAGTTATAAATTAAATCATTTAAATGGATTTAAATTAACTGTAAATAAAAATACATACAATACATGAAGGGTGTTCTTGTAAACGGCATCAGATCTGCACCGATTATTCCATTTTCAAAACTAAGGTGCCAAAATAAAGGGCTTAGTCTCTAGATGTATGTAACACAAGGCATGACTTTTTGAATAGGGTTGCCACCTTTTTTAAACATATAAAATCTGCACCGTTCGTTGTATTAAAACAGAAGAGGTGCTTCTAAAATCATAAGACTTACACCGTTCGCGCAATTCAAATCTGCAAAAAAGAACGTCTTATTTTTTTGAAGTGTGTTGCCGCCTAATAAACTTTAATTTTTGGGAAGAGCATCAGATTTACACCGTTCTGTCGCGTTTCCAAATGAGATGTCAGATGGAAAATATTGCTGTTTTGGTTTTTTAAAGGGTTGCCGCCTAATTATAATTGCATTGTTTAAATATAATAGTCAGTAAAATGTCACAATATGGGCATGAAGCGAAAGGGGTTTGAGACTAAATTAATATGTTGGTGTTCTTAATAGAGTTACCACTTATTAAACAAATTTATAACTATGAATGGTAAGTGTATTAAGGACATTCGATATTGCTATCAAACGAAAGCTGGCTAAGAGGGCTTTTGTGCAATTGTATGCGAATTTTCGATGGTTGTCATATAGTATATAATTGATTGATTGAAATATTCTAGTTAATTAAAATGTTACAAAGTGGGCTTCAAACGAAAAGATTTTAAACTAAATTAATATGATCGTGTTTTTAATATACATATATAGTTGCCACCTACTTTAAAAAATGGTGCACGTATTGAAATAATATTTAAAGATATCTAATATTGGTGTCAAACGAAAGGAAGTTAGGTGAGATTCTGCGATATTTATTTAAAAAGTTTAAAACTATGAACGGTAAGTAATTTTTAATCATATCCAATTGTATATCAAACGAAAAGCAAAAGAAGTGACGTTTTACAAAGATATATTTGTTCGAGGGTTGCCACTTAGTTAAAAATTTACTGAAAGTAAACAATAATTGATCATTAANTTTTTAAACATATAAAATCTGCACCGTTCGTTGTATTAAAACAGAAGAGGTGCTTCTAAAATCATAAGACTTACACCGTTCGCGCAATTCAAATCTGCAAAAAAGAACGTCTTATTTTTTTGAAGTGTGTTGCCGCCTAATAAACTTTAATTTTTGGGAAGAGCATCATATACATATTTATATTAACATACATACAAGTTTTTGGAAAAAATAAACGTACACTTGCGATCAGCTAATTAAGTCATCAACATTTTTAACAATTTTGATTATTTTTCTTTTGCTTATTTAATGTTTATTACTTTTCGATAAAAGCCTAGCTATATACCAAACACGATATAAATCTACACTTCAAGCCATGTGCAAAAATTACAAAAAATTTGCAAAGTTTCAGCTAAATTTTCAACTTTTTATTTAGATTTTTTTGAGTATGCATATAAATAAGTATTTAATTATCAGTTATCGTTTATGTTCATTAAAATTTTAACTAAGTGGCAACCATCGAACAATTTTTACTTCTATTTGTACTTATGTAACCTATGTATATTTTTTATTTTTCCAAAAAACTTGTATGTATCGTAATATAAATATGTATTTAATGATCAATTATCGTTTACTTTCAGTAAATTTTTAACTAAGTGGTAACCCTCGAACAAATATATCTTTGTGGCAACTATATATGTATATTAAAAATACCATCATATTAATTTAGTTTAAAATCTTTTCGTTTGAAGCCCACTTTGTAATATTATAATTAAATAGAATATTTCAATCACTAAATTATAAACTATATGACAACCATCGAAAATTCGCANATACATATTTATATTAACATACATACAAGTTTTTGGAAAAAATAAACGTACACTTGCGATCAGCTAATTAAGTCATCAACATTTTTAACAATTTTGATTATTTTTCTTTTGCTTATTTAATGTTTATTACTTTTCGATAAAAGCCTAGCTATATACCAAACACGATATAAATCTACACTTCAAGCCATGTGCAAAAATTACAAAAAATTTGCAAAGTTTCAGCTAAATTTTCAACTTTTTATTTAGATTTTTTTGAGTATGCATATAAATAAGTATTTAATTATCAGTTATCGTTTACGTTCATTAAAATTTTAACTAAGTGGCAACCATCGAACAATTTTTACTTCTATTTGTACTTATGTAACCTATGTATATTTTTTTTTTTTCCAAAAAACTTGTATGTATCGTAATATAAATATGTATTTAATGATCAATTATCGTTTACTTTCAGTAAATTTTTAACTAAGTGGTAACCCTCGAACAAATATATCTTTGTGGCAACTATATATGTATATTAAAAATACCATCATATTAATTTAGTTTAAAATCTTTTCGTTTGAAGCCCACTTTGTAATATTATAATTAAATAGAATATTTCAATCACTAAATTATAAACTATATGGCAACCATCGAAAATTCGCATACAATTGCTCAAAAGCCCTCTTAGCCAGCTTTCGTTTGATAGCAATATCGAAAGTCCTTAATACATTACTTACCATTCATAATTATAAATTTGTTTAATAAGTGGTAACTCTATTAAAAACACCAACACAGTGGTGTAGCCAGGGGGGATTTCGTCAGTGAAATGAAACTTTTTATTTTTGAATTAATAACACAATACTATTTTACCCTTCCGATTTATAATTTTCTTATTTCAGACTGATGACAAATTATCTTTTAATGAATATATAAAATTATCGGTTGGTAGATTATGTATTTGAATATTTGCGAAATACACTAGGCCATTTTGCTTAGTTTCCCACAGTGTTGGGAAATAATCCATAATCTATACAAAAACTGTACTTTTCGACTGTAAATTGTATCGACTTTTTAATTTGCTCATATGCATGCATGCATACATAGATTCCCTTCAAGACCAATGATTTGATGGTATTCACGGGAAAGTTTATGTAGGTACATTTACATATTTTACACTTTTAACATAAATGTCAAGGCAGATATTTTAAGATACACTTCCTAACAAACAAATTTTTTTAAGTTATTATGAATGGATAAAAGAGACATGTTCTTTGAATTCAGTACTAAAACTTGACATTTCAAGTGCTTATCAAAACTTTATACATGTTAACTAGATTGGCCATTTATCTTAAAATTATATAATTTTAATTATTTGTTTATAAAAATGCAGTTTACACTTTAACAAAACCCGTATAAATCCAAAGTTTAATCTTTGCGCAACATTAAAAAAATCAATGAACTTTCGAAAAGCTTTTTAATTAGATTTCCTAGAAATACATATTTTGAGTATGCAGTTTTGTAGCCCGCTCAATTCAAATAAAGCGCAAGTTTAAAATACATAGCTGCGACTTATCGTTGATTTTTAGTATTTATTTTTTTTTTCATTAAAAAAATCGTCGAACATACTTAGATAATATGGAAGAAAATTACTGTCAAAAATATGCCACACATCAACTGTAAATCACAGCTACTTTAAATTTGCACTTTATTAGACTAAAATTGAATGAGCTAAAAAACTGCAAAATATTAAGAGATAAAATTGAAATAGAAAGTTCGAAATTTTTACGAAAGTTTGCCGATTTTTTTTAATGTTGTTCAAAGATTAAACTTATTTTCATTTAGCGTTTGGAATAAACTATATTTTTATAAACAAATAATTCAAGTTAAAATATAATAAAATAAATAGTAAAATCTAGTCAATATGTGAGTGTCGTAAAGTTATGATATTTAAGAACATCTCTTTCTTAATTAACGATGACACTGTTTCTATATGAAGCTGATTTCAACATTTTGTTTTAATAAAATTTAGTATCGAAAATATTCTTTCAAAACTTGCCTAGGAATGTGATATAATGGTTCGTTCAAAACCTTTTTTCAAAACTTATAAAGGCAAAAACGAGAGGGCGAAGACAAAAAGAGAATACAAAAATTTCCCGCAGTGAATTTTCAGATTTTTAAAACGGTATAGTAATTTAATTTTTTAAATTTAAATAAAGCATGAAGACCCCATGGAATAAACGAGTAGAAAAAAAATATATAACGGTAAAACTGGCACATACCTAAATATATGAAAGAATGCACTCAGGCGACGCCTCTACCCATTGTGTGTCACAAATTTAAGTTATCGATGGACATTTTTTTTTCATCCTCCCCCAAAGCCAAATCCTGGCTACGCCACTGCACCAACATATTAATTTAGTCTCAAACAGCGGCAATCCTTTAAAAAACCAAAACAGGTCTGTAAGTCAATATTTTTCATCTGACATCTCATTTAGAAACGCGACAGAACGGTGTAAATCTGATGCTGATCCCAAAAATCACAATTCATTAGGCGGCAACACTTTTCAAAAAAATAAGACGTTCTTTCTTGCAGATCTTTAGATCAAGCCCGTTTACATGGCTCCTTTTTTTTGAATTGCGCGAACGGTGTAAGTCTTATGATTTTAGAAGCAGGTGGCAATCCTACTCAAAAAACTGAAACCTTCTTGCACATCTACAGGCCCAGCCCTTCTATTTGGCACCTCTTCTGTTTTAATACAACGAACGGTGTAAGCCTTCTGTTTTAGAAGCAGGTGGCAACCCTATTCAAAAAACTGAGACCTTCTTGCACATCTACACGCCTAGCCCTTTCATTTGGCACCTCTTCTGTTTTAATACAACGAACGGTACAGATTTCATAATTTTAAAAAAGGTGGTAACCCTATTCAAAAAGTCATGCCTTGTGGTACATACATCTAGATACTAAGCCCTTTAATTTAGCACCTCAGTTTAGAAAATCGAATAATCGGTGCAGATCTGATGCCGTTTACAAAAACTCCTTTCATGTATTGTATGTACATATACATAAATATGTATACAGATTTGAACTAACCCTGGCATTTGCGTAGGAGCTTCAAAACTATA